TACTGTCAAAGGGATTCCTCATTATCTTTAAAATAGAAGGTGTGTATAATCAGCATCCAAGTCTGCTGATTAATGGAGTCTTAATCACTTCAGTGGATAACCTGAAGCTCTTAGGTGTGACCTTTGATTCAAAGCTTACATCTGAATTGCACATTAGGAATATGGCCCGGGCAATTTCATCAAAGTTAGGCATCATTCGCAAGTGCAAGAAAATCTATGAAGATGACAACATTACACGTAGGTGCTTCTTTTCTTTTATTCTGCCTCATTTTTAGTATTGTTTTGTGTGGTTATCTGCTGCAGACTCACACTTAAGACTGCTTGATTGTTCTTTTAATTCCATGAAATTTCTCCTGTCTGACTTAAATTTGGACATTGGACACCGTAGAGTTATTGGGGCTCTTTCAGTCTTATACTAGATTGTAACCGATAATTCACATCCCCTCTATAAGTTTTTACCTGATTTTTATCAACCGGCAAGAATTACCAGTTCTATGACCTCATTAATGATTATTTTGAAGTCGATCGTCTATAAGTAGATGTTTTTTTTACTGCTATTTGTAGACTTTGGAATAGATTGCCTTCAGAGATTGTAACTTCTTCGAGTCTTGATAAGTTTAAAACGTCAGCTTTTTTTTTAAGTAATTAGTTGACTTTCTTTTTCATTCTTCTTAGCTTTATCTTGACCCGCACTGACACCTTTGGTGGTATAAACCTCGATTTTTTCAGTGTGGCTCATTATATAGCATAATAATAATAATAATAATAATAATAATAATAATAATAATAATAATAATAATAATAATAATAATAATAATAATAACAATAATGGGACATCAAACTGAAAGAGCTGCAAAAATCATAAAGATTCTAAGATATATGGATTTATAATTAATTTCCAAATTTGCAAACTCGGAATAATACGATAAATTTCATTATTTCAGTTTCCATCAAATTCTGTAGCTCGTTGGATCCATCACCTAACGATATCAGTTATCTCTTAGAGTTTTAATTACATGAAAGGATCCACTGAATCATATATGTAACACCAGCAATTGAATAAGTTTATAATATATAATATATATATAATATATATATATATATATATATATTATATATATATATATATATATTATATATATTATAATATATTATAAATATTATATTATTTTTTTTTTTTGTTGTTTTTTTTTTTTTTTTATACAAGAGTATTTGATATTTTGAGTTATATTTTTAATTTTTTCATGTATCTTTTTTGAATGTTATCAACAAAAAGAAAAAAAGAAAAAAAAAGAAGAAAGAAAGAAAAAGAAAAAAAGAAAAGAAAGAAAGGAAAAAAAAAGAAAAGAAAGAAAACAAAAAGAAAAAAAAAAAAGAAAAAAAAGAATAGATAAGAAAAAAAAAATTATATTATATGTTAAAAAATATTCTTGTGGAAAAAAGATATGTAAGTAAAAAAAAAGGCATGGAGCTTATATATATATCATCATTTAAATATCTCTTCGAATATTTTTTTTTCTTTCGTTTCATTATTCCTTTGGTCTCATACGGAAATAGTCCTGTCTAAACCAACAGAAATAGTTCTCCAAAACAAAAAATGTATTACAATAGTCGTTAGTACTTAATAATTCTATCAACTGGTTCTAACAGGTTTGATATAATCTTAGTATCCTTCCTAGTACAAATAAGTGATCAGCCGAAAAATTATCGCTCACAACCTAAATGGAAAACAAGTAATTCCACCTAAAACGCGAAAGGAAACGGGTCAATGTATAATGTATTTGTTATTTGTGGGAGAATCTAACTAAATGGTTTTTTTAGGGTTGTTACGTATAAAGGAGCTGCCAACCGCTCTATAATGAAGCCAAGACTTTGCCTGGCTTGTAGCCTTACCACATTTGCCCTGCCTTACGCTTGTGCCTTTGCCTTGCCTTTCTTACCCTTGCAGCTCGTTGCCTTGCCTTTGCCTGCTTGCCCACCCAACCCTTGCAGGTGCCTTTGCTTGCCAAGACCTTGCAGCCTTTGCCTTGCCTTTGCTGCCTTGCCCAACCAAACCCTTGCAGCCTTTGCCTTGCCTTGCCTGCCTTGCCAAAAAGCCTAGCCTGCCTTGCCAACCCAGCCCTTGTGCCTTTGCCTTGCCTTGCCTTGCTTTGCCTTGCTTGCCACCCAACTCTTGCAGCCTTTTGCCTTGCTTTGCCTTGCCTTGCCCAACCCAACCCTTGTAGCCTTTGTTTGCCTTGCCTTGCCTTCCCCAACCCAACCCTTTGTAGCGCTTGCCTTGCCTTGCCCACCCAACCCTTGCAGCCTTTGCCTTGCCCTTGCCTTGCCTTGCCAAACCCTTAGCAGCCTTTGCCTTGCCTTGCCCAACCCAACCCTTGCAGCCTTTTGCCTTTGCCTTTGCCTTGCTTGCCCAACCCCTTGCAGCCTTTGCCTTGCCTTGCCCCAACCCAACCCTTGTCCCTTTTTTGCCTTGCCTTTGCCTTGCCTTGCCCAACCCAACCTTTGCCTTGCTTGCATTGCCTTGCCTTGCCCACCCAACCCTTGCAAGCCTTTGCCTTGCCTTGGCCCACCAACCTTGCAGCCTTTGCCTTGCTTTGCCTTTCCTTGCCAACCCAACCCTTGAGCCTTTGCCTTGCCTTGCCCAACCCAACCCTGTAGCCTTTGCCTTGCCTTGCTTTGCCTTTGCCTTGCCTGCCTTGCCAACCCAACCCTTGCAGCCTTTGCCTTGCCTTGCCTTGCCTGCCCAACCAACCCTTGTAGCCTTTGCCTTGCCTTGCCCAACCCAACCCTTGCAGCCTTTGCCTTGGCCTTGCTTGCCTTGCCCAACCCAACCTTGTAGCCTTTGCCTTTGCCTTGCCCACCCAACCCTTTAGCCTTGCCCAACCCAGCCTTGCCAGCCTTGCCACCCAACCCTTGTAGCCTTGCCTTTGCCTGCCCAACCCAACCCTTGTAGCCTTTGCCTTGCCTTGCCCAACCACCCTTGCAGCCTTTGCCTTGCTTTGCCCCTTGCCCAAACCCAACCCTTTGCAGCCTTTGCCTTGCCTTGCCCAACCCAACCTTGTAGCTTTGCCTTGCCCACCCCTTGTAGCCTTTGCCTTGCCTTGCCCAACCCAACCCTTGCAGCCTTGCCTTGCCTTGCCAACCCAACCCTTTAGCCTTTTTGCCTTGCCTTTGCCTTGCCCAACCAACCCTTGCAGCCTTTGCCTTGCCTTTGCCTTGCCTTGCCCAACCCAACCCTTGAGCCTTTCCTTGCCTTGCCTTGCCTTCCCCAACCCACCCTTTAGCCTTGCCTTGCCTTGCCAACCCTTGTAGCCTTTGCCTTCCTGCCCACCAAACCCTTGCAGCCTTGCCTTGCCTTGCCCAACCCTTGCAGCCTTTGCCTTGCCTTGCCCAACCCAACCCTTGCAGCCTTTGCCTTGCCTTTGCCTTGCCTTGCCTTTCCTTGCCTTGCCCAACCCTTGTAGCCTTTGCCTTGCCTTGCCTTTGCCTTGCCTTGCCCAACCCAACCCTTGTAGCCTTATAATATATGAGACAAAATGCACCAGCGAACTTATAACTGCAATACCCATTTATCTCACAGATTTTCGCTTGACTAAAAACCCTCGCAAAAAAACATGAATCTGTGGGACGAAATCCAAATAGGTATTATATCCGGCTGTTATTATCGATGCGAACTTGACGCTAAATACACAACGCGTCGAAAAGTTCAATTTGAATGTGACTTTTGAACTTACAAGGGTTAGAAAATGGTTCACTTAATAGAGTATATATCAAGCTCCATCACGGTAATATAATAAGAATATAACAGAAACTTTGAAAACTATCAAAAAGGGGGAAAAAATATTCGTTTTCGCGAATATAACAGAAACTGGTGGTTACATTTTTAATTTGTTTTCAACAGAGATTTAACATTAATCTAACAGAGCGGAACGTTATGAATTAAAAATATGTATAATGTACGTTTTTGGGTAAACACTGCCATAAATGATTTTATGAATTCTTTCCGATATAGCGTTTAAGCACTGCCATGATTTACCTTAGTATATATAAATGTTTCATCTTTATTGTCCTGACATGATCAGTCGCTGCAATAGTGAGAAAGAAGCTCTTGGACCTTAGACACTGGAAAAAAAATAATAATTTCAATAATAATTATGATAATAGTATGATAATAATAATAATAATAATATAATATAATAATAACAGTAATAATAATAATAATCGTAATAATAATAAATAGTAATGATAATAATAATTATGCCACCTTTGCTGATAATAATTACAATGATAATGATGATTTTAATAATAATGATAATGATAATGATAAAAGATAATATGAATAATAATCATTATGAGGTTTATCATTATCATCAATATTATTGATTTACAAATAAAATGTTGATGGTGATGATATGATAAAGACAATGTAGATGGACTTATAGAAATGATAATGATGACAATAATCATAATGCTGATAATGATAACTATGATGATGAAGATGAAGATGATGATAATGACGTTGATGGTGATAATGATAATGAAAGTATTAACTGTAAAATTGCAAACAACGTAATAATGAATACAATTAATATCCAAATGTATCATTATCATCACTATCGTATTTATGTAATAGTAATATTGCCCTCTGTGTCATTACCACTATCACTATATATATGTCTCATCATTATCATCATCTATCATATCATTATCATGCTTTAACGCTTACATCTGATGATACGTTAAAAATATTCCTAAAGACTTTTAGTTAGATTTCTCAGCCAAATAAATAACAAATACACTTAATTTATCTAGAAAAGTGAGATATGAAGAAGAAACACACATCCATGAGGCCCTGTGCGTGTGTGTGCGGTGTGTCGGTGTGTGTGTGTGTGTGTGTGTGTGTGTTGTTGTATTTTAGCTTTGTCTTGTGTCGGTGTGTTTTGATTTTTATTGTTGTCCTCGCGACGTGTGTTAGTTATGTGTATGTGTCTGTGTGTGTT